ACAGCACCTCAGGTGGCTGTCCAGGTGGCTGGAAAGCCACCTAAGGCCCCGGGCAGACTTCACGCGATTTGATCGTCGCGACTGAATCGCGAGGAGACAACTGTTACAACATCATTCCATGCTGATCAACTTTATTCGGTTGTGGTACTTTTCCAGCCCGAAATTTTTGAATGTGAAATGAAAATGAATGGAAATCTTGGCGATTAGATCGCGACGATTAAGTCGCGTGAAGTCTGACCGGGGCCTAACTCCGAAAAAAGTTTGCCATGCCTTCAGTTTACATAATTTTTTCATAATTTTTCGCACATAGTTGTCCTATCAACTCCCTATCGCCTATCTACACACCAATTTTGGTGCTATTTCATTTTCTCTTCGCTGTAAACAAGTCTTTTGTTTATTTCGGGGCAGGTTTGAATTCGCGCGCTCAACCGGCGAACATGTTGAAACAGGAAATTTTTGGTTTTTGCAGATCCATAAGGCAGAAATGACAGTTTGCGTCTTCGGTAGAAGATGGATGACATAAAGACAGAAGGGACTGTGTGGGGAGGGAGGGGGGGGGGAGGGCTGGGGTTTCCGCTCCAACGATATCCCCCTTGCTTTTTATTCCAAAACGATATCCAGCCTGCCCCGTAAGCCACCTGTGCCGAGCCCTGGATCTGACCAGGGGTGAGGGGGACGCTCATATTTCGCTACTCTAGATAAATGTATTCTTCTTTGCTGTCTATGTTGTAAAGGTTCTTACACCGTGGTACTTGTGCTTAATGAATGGCAGAACATTGCCATACAAGCTGAAATTTTCATTGTTTTGTGTAATTTATTCTCAGGAGATCACTCCTTGTCTTCAAAATCGTCTTCTTTCGAGATGATGAAAACGCCTCAAAGTTGTAGTGAGATCTACTGTGGCACTGCCAGAGACAAATGGATTGTGCATCTTGTGAATTTTTCACTCGTACCTAAGTTACAAATGGCTGCGAAAAAACGCGCCCCTTGCTCCAATGCAAATCTCGCTTCCGCGCGGGACTCCCGTCGACTTGTTGCGCTCACTCTGTGTGCTATATCTGTGATCAGTATGTCAGATAGGCTCCGTATCCAAAGTTTGAGTGAATTCGAAGTGTTTGAATTTTGTCGCTTGAACTCAGACAATCGGTGCCGTAGCTCCGGAGGACAGTCGAAATCTGGCAGAGCTGCGGAGGGCCCAATTGACCATTGAGAGCGGGGCGAGGGGGCGGTCTCTTCTTGTAGGTCACGGTGACGTCACAAGCAGGCGAATGGGACCCCTCTCCGGGACGCGCAAATCTCTGCTCCGGAGGTCCAGATTTGGAGGAGCCCCGGAGCAGAGATTTGCGCTCCGGAGGTACGCCAGATTTGGAACACCTCCGGAGCACAAATGGGAGGTCTCCGGAGCAGAATGGGGAGATCTCCAGAGCACAAAATGGGAGGTCTCCGGGACACAGAGCGACGGCAGCACACGCGCTCCGGAGGTACCCCAGATTTGGGGCCTTCGGAGCACCATAGGTACGCAGCCAATTTGCTGTGATACGCAGTTTAGCATTTTCGAAAATAAGCTGCCGTCGCTCTGGACTTACTCTTTTTTGTCGTTTTTCGCGCTCGTTTTTCTTTTTTTTTGGTTTTCGTGTTGCTCGTTGGCGTTTATGTTGTTCTATTCCTCGTTTTCAGGTTTATGTTTCTGATTTTCGTGCGGATGCACTCAGTCACTTTTGGTGTTCGGCTCTCGTTTTCGACTTATCGTCGTTTTTCCGCGTTCTCCGTTCTTTTTCTTTTCCGTGCTGCTCTTCGGCGCTTTTGACATTTATGTTGTTCAGTTCCTTCTTTTCAGGTTTCAGGTTTTAGGTTTTCGTGCGGATGCACTCAGTCACTTTTAGTGCTTGGTTCTTTTCAACTTGCTAAGACATGAATGACTATTGATGGAGTGGTCTTTGTGACAGATCTTGGATTTTCGAAACAAAAAGTTTATAAACAGAGAATTGGTGTTGAGTCACTATTAGTATGTCCGATATCTAAAGCTAGTGCTATGCAACGTGCTGGTCGCGCTGGTCGTAGTAAGCCTGGTTAGCTTTTCGGTCCTAATCGTTCTCACATTGAGAAACTTTGCATTTTAGGAAATTGTTTGCGGAGATCCCTTTATTTCTCTACATGCTCACGAGCCTTCTGGAGTACCCAGTCTTCCAGAATCTCACGTACGAAAAAGTCTGCCTTTCACATCATGACCAGGTATTGTAATGCTTGCTCAGCTTTTCCTAATCTTTCGTTTCTAGGACTTTCTTTTCGTTCGAATGTATCAGCCTATTACTCTGACAAAGTCATACAAGCTGGAGCGAATCACTTTTATTTTTTATCATCCATCGTACTGCTTCCGGCACTCCTTTCAACTTCCGCATTAGGAGCAGGTGAGGTGGGGATTGCTATGATTTTGGTAGGTTATACATGACTTTGGAACAAAGTCATTTCAGCTGCGGATATGTGAAGCATCAAAGTCCCACTGCTAATTTGTTTCTTTTCTTGATCCTTTGCACACAACTACATCGTTCATACTGTTTACATGAGCTTGTCAGTTTATATGCTGCTCATAAGCAACGCTCTATCTGGCATCTGTGGCGGATACATTTCAGTTCTTTGTGAGTGTTTTTTTCTGTTGGAGTACTTATGTTAACGTGAGTTAATTTTGTGGGGCTCAATACACGCGAAAGGCACTCGCCTTTGTAGACTACTCGTCATACGATATGTTGTATCATTCATTCTTTGATTAAGAGACGCTTGCGCGCTTAACAAGTTCATGAATGAGTTTCGACGCGTTTGATCGATTTACTATTGGATTTCGTGGAAAAACGTGTTTAAGCTCGTTGAACCACGCTGACTTGAACACTTTCTTTTACGTGTTCCTTATCAAATAACCAAAACTTAGAACTCACCCATGAACTTGTTGATCAAATGTACGCAGAGCGTGCTCTCGTCTCTTAGTCAGAGGATGAATGATATATGTTGTATATGTTGTAGCATATGAGAAAAAAAACAATAGTCGCAGAAGCGGTATTGCTTGCGTCCTCAAATGAACTATAGTACTTCCTCATATGAATCCTTTAGTCACAATCCTCGGTTATGGCGTAAAAACAACATCCACTACTCGTCGCAGTATTAGAATAGCTGGTCTCGAAGGTGCTATTGGTCTTGGAGGTACTATAGGATATGCCGTTCTTGGCAGAGTCCGAGAGCAAGCATCTATTTTGAACTTCGCCTCTTAGCTTGTTCTTTATTTTTGGCGCTAATACGGATTAACATTCATGGTATAGTGGACCTCTTAAGTAGTCTAAGTGATCCTTTTATGACACGTAAAAAGCTAAAACGCATCGCTTAAGAGTTTACAACATCAACTCAAAGTGTCCCTGTTTTTGATTCTACAAGAAAGCGGAGACGCGGGGTCAGATAGGGGAGAGTGAAGGAGGAAAAGGCAGGTAGTCGGTTTTCGGCACTCGCTGTTTTTTCAGATAATCGTTTTCGTAGGAAAATGTACAAGGAGAGCGAAAGTACGTATGGCATGATTACTATACGCTTAACTGCATCTATTCGATATTGCAGCTGTCGTGGAGTGTGATGATACCTGTGGACAGAAGCTAACTCAAGCTCAATGCAATGTCCAACAAAAGTTTTGTTTTGCGATTTGCAGTAGATTGTTTGCAGTTAATTTGAAGTAAATGTCTTGTCTCTTTATTCTTCTATCTTCTATCTACAAACGCTAGGGGTGAGAGGGAGGGGGTGAACGGGGTTGAGGGTCGCGCTGAACTCCTACCCGGGGGGGGGTCGTATTCGGCGGTCGTATGCCATGCTCGACGCTGGTCTAAAGCTAATTTGGGTAGGGTTTAGAGACATAACTGGGGTTTGGAGCTTAATTAGGGCTAGTTACAGTATGCCGCGGCAAACTTCCGGAGCACAAAATGGGTTGCAAACCCCCGCTGGGGAAACCCCGCGGCTCCGCCATTTCTGCTCCGGAGGTATGCCGTCGACTGTCTGAGAAAAAGACTTTCGTGTTTTCTTGAAAGATAGGAGCAAGAATTCAGTTTTTAATATATTCACACGGTACACATCATTATCTAAACTAAATTATTTCTCCATAAAATTGAAGCAAGAAGAAGCTGCGACGTGCATGCGTCATTCGCGGCCGCACTTTGTTGCAACTGTTGTTTGATTTGCCCTCATCTTCTGAACAAATATTTGCAGGGGTACAACTCTTTGCATGATACTTTTTTTGTACGCATCTACGAGTGTACCATACAAGAAGATTCCTGAGCTTGGCAGTGCTCAGAAAAGATGTTTGAACTTGAAGATGAGAAGCTGAGAGCTTGTGTATAGGTCTGTGTGAGTATGCCGCGAGAGAACTGGGAATGAACCGGAGTAAGTGAGCATAGAAATGGACGGGATCGTGGGCATATGCTAATGACGATTGCTCTTACAATTAGTAATCTTGAAGATTTCGAATTTTGAGCAAAGTAGGTGTTTCTGTAGGCGTAAATAAGCACGTTGCGTTAATGCTTTCGCGCCATCAACTATGAAATTAGAAAACGGGTTTGCTTATGGGTTGAAAAGGTGTGTTACATTGTGGTATGCATACAAGGACCGAGCAAGAAGTGGCTCTACCCATCACTTAATACATTTTATCACATGTCTGACTGCCGTATCAGCAAAATCTTCTGTTCCATACTACGTGTATTCCATATTACCACAAGTTCCATACTACATGCATTCTTTCAATGTGCCACTTCGATTTTGAGTTCGATTACTTGAAATCTATTCTAAATGTTTGATATTCGATCGTTCGACATTTTCCGTCCTGAAAAATATGCGATATCCGATTATCCGACGATCTTACTCGTAAAACATTCGGTATTCGAAATTCGGTGTTTTTCTGTTTCCGAAAATGTTCAAGATTGACTATTCGATATTTTGCTTAAATGAAATAATCTCGGATATCTCAAAGTGTAGTGACTATCAATACTTTGCAGGTCTATGGAAGAAGATGCTAATTTTGCTTTGAACTTTGACAGTGATGTATTCGAGAGCAGCTTCATTTACTGGAGCAATCTGCCAGCTCATTTAAAAGTCCAGATTCTGCGCAATCTTCCGTATCCAACTTTGAGAAGCTTCATGTTTGTTAGCAAAGAATGTATGACTTTGGCGTCATCTGTGAAGACTCAAGCATACGGTGTTTATTTGCAGGACCATCCCTTCGATTATACAAACATAGTGAGTATTTTTTGGTGCACAAAAAATAAAAAACCATAAGGCCTTTAAACCATCCATCTCTTGTTTGCAAGTTCCCATGAAATTCGTATTTTTTTGCTTTTTCGCTGCTATCTTCATACAAAATTGTGTAAAGTAGAAGTCTCAAGAGCAAGGAAATTGGCATAATTTTTAGGTGGAAATCAAAGAGGCATCAGCGTTTATCACGGTTTATTACATACCACCCGAAGCAGTGGGTGTTCCAGATTCGCACAAGAATTACACACTCACTTTTGTCGACGTTGAGGATGGAGGTTGTGTAGTGAAAAGGTGATCTTTTCCTACCAAGTTGCATAGATACAGCTTGAATAATTTGCGCCTTCTCTTTTTTGAAATTTCAATTCTGTTTCTTATAACAAAAAGTTTTTTTGTAATTCATGCATCTGAAATCAATTGCACGAAATTGCGCTCGCTTATTGAAATGCTAAGAATGGCTTTTCTTTAGGAAGCCTTTTCGGACGGGAACTTTATAGATTTGTACCGTTTCGTCATAACTCATAAAACAGTCTTGCGAACCCTCACATACATCGGAGTGAAAGATTGCAGAAGTTTTGTCATTAGGTTACCCAAAAGTTTTTCCGATTATTCTACCAAGTTTGGATGAGACCAAACTTGCCAAAATTGATTAACGGTAGAAAGAATGTTAAGATGCATTGGTAGATCAATGCTTTCTTTATCGGAGCCGAGTTCTTGAAAGTTTGAATGACTTGAATTGCAATTTGCGGTATGACATTTCTCTGTTCGAAACTTCCAATGTATCTTTTCCATACGATCTTCGTGAAACCATTTAAAACAAGCGTTCAAACCAACAGGAGGGCCAGAAATTGGTTACAAAGAATTCTCAGAGGGTTCTGAGGAAAATTTCGAAATGTGAATACTTCATGTAGTCCCTTATCTTGCTTGAGTAGAGAATGTTTTTTGAATTTAGCAAAACTTACAAATTTTCACTTCTCTGCATTAGCTGAAAGCTGTCGCCCGCGTTATGATCCATTACTATAACCTTAAATGATGCAAATCTGCACACAACCTCTTTTTTAGTAAGTATACTAAAACCTTCCAGCTACGCATTTTGGAGAAAGTTACAAGACAGAAAAAAAACGAAAAAGCTTAAAAGTGATCAGAAATGAGGCGGCAGTTCATAATCGTGCAACTACTAAAGCGAATAGAATAATTCAGGAGAAGAGATAAAAAAGGAAGATCAATAATCACAACCGGCGTTAGATACCAAAACGAAAAGAGCTCTTCTGCAGCAGTGCGAGTATTCTTCCAGCTAACGAAAAATATCAAGGCACAAAATCTTTTCATTGAGATGGTGAGTTACATAAAGACTTGATGTCTCATTGATGAAAAATCTTTGCCCAGACTTCGGAAAATGCGGAAATCGAGAGATTACTTGGTGAACTTTCACCAGTCGTTCCTCTTGTCTGCGGTAAGCTCACCATTCGCGCAAAAAGTAAGACTGTTGCATCATCTCTTCTTCGCTTTGTGTCTCCCGGTTGTGGGCTAGATATTTATTTCTTGGATCATTTCTCTGAAGAGGTTTTCATGGATTCAGCATTCTGTGATTTAGAAGCGGTAACTTAAGGTCAAGGGACTTTGTAGATATATAGACAACGTTTTTGCCTTTAGGTGCGGCAGGCCCCTGAGATTGATACTGAAGCAATGATTGCGGTCAGCGACGATCAGTTATCCCTTTTCAAAGCACACTGTCTTCGTATAAGAGCTCCTTACATTTCGTCGAAAGGGATCAACAAGATGATTATGGTACGTGTTTGTTTATAAAATGAAGTGGATGAACTAGTGATAAATATAAACATGTGATAAACACGTTAAGCTACAAACTTCGCGAAATCGTCATTTTCATAGAACATGCGCAAAACAAATCCTGCTTTCTTTTGGCAGCTTTGAAGATGCACTGTATTCTTGATAATCAGATTCACATACTTTGGTGACCTTCAATGAAAGGGCGTGAATTATACAAAGGCCCGTACGCACATACCTCCCCGCTGGGGAGAGGAGATGATCGAGAGGGGACGCTCGTATTTCGCTACTCTAGATAAATGTATTTTTCTTTGCAGTTTATGTTGTAAAGGTTCTTACACCATGATACTTGCACATAATGAATGGCAGAACATTACCATACAAGCTGAGATTTTCACTGTTTCGTTGTAGTGAAGATCTACTATTGGCACTGCCAGAGACAAATGGGTTTTGCATGATGTGAATTTTCCACTCTTACCTATTACAAATGGCTGCGAGGAGCGCGCCCCTTGCCCCAAGGAAATCTCGTTTCCGCGCGCGACTCCCGTCGACTTGTTGCGCACACCTTCTCAGACAATCGCCGGGAGCAGGCGGTCCGCAAACTCGCATTTTTCTGCAGGAGGTCAGCAGAATTCTAAGGCGTGGCCAAACCTTCAGCGGGCGGCACTTCCTTTACTGTCTAATGTTCTGCCAGCGGGCAGCAACACAGAATTTTCTGCAGGCGCTCGTCAAATAATCTCTTTCAGCGAGCGCTGGTCGAAATTCCAGCTGGCGCTCGGACGGTTTTCAAGCAGTTTCGAACGTACGCCGATCAAAGGTGAGACTCTACATGGCAGAGGTGTCATCGATGGTTTAATTACTCAAGTTTGAGGTACTTTCTCTCAGCGAAGAGTACCTGGAGGCTGCGCGGCCTTCCACAAAGGACCGTGCGGCCCCCGGAAATTTTGCATATTCTCGCGGAAAGTCCGCGAAAATGCTGCCACCGCGCCGCAGCTAATCTGTAAGAAAACCGCGATTGTTCTCCAAGCATTCGTCTAAAATTTTGCCAAAATTCTTCCAAATATCTGCAAGCGGACCGCAAGAAATCAGCGAACTATTTTTCTGGTGCCCGCTTGCCCAAAAATCGCATGGCCGCCTGCCCCCGACGATTATCTGAGTTATAACTCAGACAATTCTGCGCGCAAGCGGCGCGCACTCACGGCTAGCAGGGCATGCGGAGCGCCGAGATTTGTGGGCGTGGCCCTGCAGCGCACAGGCGGCGCGCACTGATTTCGGCCGGGGGACACGCGGTAGACGACAATCGGCGCAAAAGGAAGACAGTGTATCATCCGCCTCAATGACTTTCACGGATTTCTACTCATAGCATCGGATAATGTATCTGCCCCCACCCCCACCCCCGTAGTCCCCCGCCGTGCCACTTTGACACCGGAGAGTTTCTGATAGGCTCAAAATTGGGGATTGTCGCCTTCCGCACTACACCCATTTCAGCCAACGGGCGCGCAAACACAGCGTACATACAGGCGGCGCGCAATGGACTTTCTGTAGCATCATATAAGCGAGGAAAGACGCTTGCTTTCGCGCGCAAATGCAGAATCTTTTGCAGGATCGTTTCTCCTCATTCCTCTATGTGTTATCCATGCAAAATTGTGTCGTCTATCACCTCACTTTTACTCTGCTGTTTCACCTCTTTTTCTAGTTGTAAATTGTTTTGAAATCAAGTATGCGATTTTTTGCCTTTTTGTAGCACGTTTTCTTTTATCTCATCGAAATTCTCTCTTGTTTCTCATATTGGAGGTCATTTGAAGTAGAATTCCTAATGTGAGCAAAGAAATAGTAGTTCTTTGCATTAAGCTCTATATTAAGCCTTCTCGCTTAGGGAGTCCTTATTTGGAAACCTCAGAATTCGCTGAACTTGGATCACAGGGGTTATTTTACTTGCTAATTACAAAATGCTCTTATGCTTCATAGATCTTTGATTATTACTCTACATATACGATAATCGGTCAAACATCAAAGTATTTTGCATGACGGGCCTATTTGACATTGTCAACGAATACCATGTTATGCGAACACAGCGGACGTCTTGATAACGACCTCCCCCCCCCCTGATTCCTCAATACGATCCCCCAGGGGTGGCATGCCACCCCCTGCTTGACCCTGGCCCTGACTATTTATCTTGAAGAAGTGAGAAGCTGCATTTTTTCAGATTTCGTCAAAGTCTTGTTGCTTTTTCTCTTCATTTGTTAATAGCGCATATTTCACACACAAGCGTCCAATACCATGATGGAATCAACCTTGATAGAAAGACCACTACGAGGACTAACGAGGAAGGGCTGATCCAGATTAAATGTCGCATCATTCATCCCAATTCTCATTCTTATACCCATCGTGTCCCCCTCATCCAATTGTTTGATTCCTATGGTTGAATTGTGTATACGAAGTCTATGAGCATTCAATTATGGCTGATCCAGCATGCCCACGTTTTGTTCAATGTTATCGCATTTTCATATTCTATTCCTCTACTGTACATTATGTATTTGATTGTATACGTATTGTATATATACATTATGTATTGTCTATGTATACACATCCAGTTTGTTTATTAAAGTAGCCTGTGATTCCATTGGCGGTTATTCCAAGTTATCTCGTTATATCGTTGTACATGTTACCATCAACTTCGTTGTAATCATCACTTGTTGATATCACATTCGAAAGAGTATGTGAGTTCTGTACGTATCAAGTTAGTGGGGTGAACAATAGCATCTACTCAAGACGCCTTAATTTTGTAAATAATGTATTTGATCGAATTGCTGTTTCAAAACTTGACAAATTTGAATAAAATAATTGTGAAACCACATTGTCTAACAAGCATAAGATATTCAGACCGACTACAAAAATCCGAGCAGATTCCTGCCAAAATTTTCCTCGTAGCGCGCAGGCGGCTGGCCTTCAATCCTAGGCGGCGCGCACTGCATACACAGGCGGCGGGAAGACACATCGCTTGCTGATTCAATGCGCGCCGCCTGCGCGCACCATTGTCTGAGAAGTTTCATCGCGAAGAAAGTGGCGCTCAACGGAAATAACTCATTTTATAAAATAATCACAAGAAAAGCAACGGATTTTATTGCGTTAATGATGGTTTGCCTATCTATGTAGACGCACCATTAAAGGCAGTGGCTCGGCAAATCCCAACCTAGTCAAATTGACCTTTACCTGGGGTTTTCCAATACGCTGATCCCGATAGTCCACTTTTGAAAGCTTGAAAACGGCGAAAATGAGCGTTTTTTAATGCCCTTCCCTTTGATATTGGACGAGTGGAGCAAGGCTGATGCGACAAATCCTTGCAGGACGCAATGGTTATAGCGTTGCGGCGGGCAGCCTCCAATGGTGAGAAGGAAATTGCCAACTCGTCCAGATGCGTGTAAGATTGGCCTGCGCATGTAAGTTCGGGAGCGATTTTCTCGGCAGGGAAAGCATGCTGTGCAACCGGGATTGCACTGTTTTCATAGTCGGGCTATAAGGAACCTACCGCGTTAAAATCCCGAGTTGTTGAATTTTGCCGATCCACTACCTTTAATACTGGAGTTGGCAGCGACAGCAGGTATGATAGAGTGGAAGATGATATAGATGACAAATCTTTCTTGTAATTTTTTGATGTGTAGACTTCTCGATGAAACTTCTTTCTGGTAAGCAAGCTACTGTGGAGCATATTCCATTTTCTTGGCGCTGAATGATTAAAAGCTACAAATAAACCGACGATTTCGTGTATTACTTTTGCTAGTGTAAGTCATCAGAATTATTCATTTCGAAGTGTTCGTACTTAATACAACTGTATGAGTTTATCACCTACATTCTTTCTTATGACTAACAAACTTGAACGTCATCTTCATGCTTGCTTGCTTTGAGATTATTCGAAGCTATCATCGGCTCCCAGATTCGTGTGGAGGCGGTTGCGGACTTCCCTGGCTTTCAGTATTAGCTTGTTAAACCTCCACGTTATACCATTGCATGTCGTACTCTCTCGTTAAGCTTATTTTTAAAATCAGGGAAGCCCGTGATCCGTCTCCGCACGAATCTGGGAACAGAAATTGTGATGAGATGACTGACTGGGCTTCTTGGTTGATAGCAAGCTCTCATTCAAGAAACATTGGGCGAAAATTGCTGCCAAAGGAATGGCCGCGATGCACAATCTGTTTAGAGCGCTAACAATTAATGATATGGAGGTCTTGATCAGGGCTTATAAGGTATGTGTTAGACCGTTACTCGAATATGGTACTGTTGTATTCAATCCCTCCACATATATTGCTAGTCATGTAATAGAGAGAGTACAGAACAGCTTCACTAGAAAGCTAATGATACGCAAATCAGGGTTCTTATATAGTCAGTTCCCGTGCTTCAGGCCTCGTAACAAAAAGTTAGTTTGGTTTGGAAAGCTTAGAAAGAAAAAGGAAAAAGTTGGATCTTATTATGGCACATAAAATATTATTTGGTGACTGTCAAGTTGATCCAAGTAACTTTTTCAAACAGAGAAACTCGGTAACCAGAGGTGATCCAAACAAGATTGTGCTCGTTAGAACAAGAAGGAATGTGCGGAAGAATTTCTTTGTCAATAGAGTTAGCCTGCGAACGCTCCCTGTAAAACCTTCTTACTTTAGAGCAGTCCTCATGAACTACCTACTTTCTGCCTAGTGTACCTCTTAACTGATGTTGTCGCATTTTGCATTTCGCTTTATAACGAGTATAGTTGTTGTTGTTCTTCTCGTTGGTGCTCTTTTGTTGCTGTTTGCTTGCATCATTAACATAGGTTATCCTATGTAATAAATAATATTAATAATAATCATGCCATAGAAGACGGCTCTTCACAAACTTGGACTCTGACTTCCAATTTTAGGAAACTTCAGAAGTCAAAGATTAGATCTGCACTGCCAACTGCCAAGAAATGATCCTTTCATTATACTACATGCGCGTGAAGGTATTTTAATTATGCTATTGTAGAAAGCGGCGTTTTTAAGTGTGTCCTAGGAGTGCACTATAAAGGCACCGTCCACCCAGATTATTAGAATCCATGTTTTGATCGTTCCGGGGCCTTCTCATGTCCTGATTCCGAATGTCAAGTCGAGAAGCAGCAAAAATCCTAACAATCCTCGTTCCAGAGAACCCTAGGCCGGCTTTTTGGACGGTGTTGGCTGGACGCGCACGGGTGAGCGGGCATGGATGGGGAGCGCGGTGCCACTTAGGGGTCCACGTGCATCTTCGTTATTCCAGAGCGATTTTTTCGCTTCCGAAGCGACATTTTGTGCCGCGACGTGGGCATTGGCTTGCTAGGGGACCCTACTATCATATGCTGCCAAAAGCTCAAGACTCTCAACTTAGGGGGACGGTGCCTCTAACGAGTGGTACGCAGGGTAAAAAATAACTGGCAAAGATGCAAGAAGGGCGTATGAACGAAACTCCTTTCACAATATTAATACTTATGCATTTAAAGACTACTTCTTCCACATGGATTCACGAACAAGGGCTATGGATGCAAACTTACTAGATTATGAATAGCGTGATAGTGTGTAAAAAGCTGGAAGAGAGGTCCTAAAACTAAACAGCGTGATTGCTTGGATAAGCCAAAAGCCACTATCAAAATCAGCACCATTACCCGGAAGACAGTATTTATTATAACCTATGTCTATAGCTTACCACTTGTCATGGCTGGCCTATGAAGAACAACACATTCTTTAATGAAGACTACATCCCATTAGTGCAAAACAGCATTTTCACTTTTGTGCCAAAGCTGAACGAAGAGTTTCAGTTTGAGGAACAACATTGATCTGACATGAAAAATGCAACTAGATGAGCAAATCACCATTAACACAACAAAAGCACTTGCTTTTCTTGTGATTTTACAACAGAAAGGAGCCTTTTCCTTGAGCGTCACTTGCATCGCCACAAAAATCATAGAGTATGCGCTATCAGTCAATGGGAGTCCCGCGTGTAAGCGAGATTTGTATCAGGCCATGGGGCGCGTTCCTCGCAGCCATTTGTAATTATAGGTACGAGTGAATTTCGATGAACCTCGCGAACAGCTGTTCGTCGAAGATTTCGATATCTTGAGATTTCACAGTGTCTAATATCTCATCAGAGCAGTGCCATAACTTATCTTTGTTGCAATTTTCCAGCATTCTCATCGAGTTTATGAGAAGATAAATAACGTTGAAAATGTAGGGCAATCTCCAGGGGATCCCTTAGGAGATCACACGGAACAGTGAAAAACTCGGTTTGTATAAAATGTTCTGTTATCCATCATACTCAGATAGTAGGGTATGTAGATCTCCATAAGATCTCGAGCAGAGTTTACGCGATTTGATCGTCGCGATTGACACAAGATAACTGTAAGAATAACATTGCATGCGGATCTTCTTGTATTTCGGTTGTGATAGTTTTCCGACACGACTGATTTTGACTAACTATCACAACCGAAACACAAGAAGATCATCATGTAATGAACTCGTAACATTTGTCTTGTAGCGATTGAATCGCGACGATCGAATCGCGTGAACTCTGCCCGAGGCCTAAGATAGACTGAAAAAGAACAATGCAGATACTTAAAGAAGTGAGTTATGACGAACTCTCCCTCAGATACATGTATAGGAACCTAAAACGCAGAAAATCGACCTCAAATTCATTCACATGAACAGTCCAACAACTTTGTATAAAAAAAAAGGTGAAACGCAACAGTCGAGTAAGACACTGCACTTAGGTAGCTTCGAAAATCTGTATGGAAGCAGAACCAGCTACAATATTCTGGAAACATCTTTTAGAAGTCAACAAAATTGATTTAGTTAATAGTGAAACAGTGGAGCACAGAACTTGAGAACTTGCGCGAGCTGCAAAAAGTAATACTCAGTCTTCCTATTACCTCACTACTAGACCAACATATAATTTTGCGTAGACCCGTTGAACATGCGAGATACGTCCACAGCCGAAACCTTGTTTACTGTGCGCAGCTAGCCAGTCGCCTGACAAGACACGGCACAAGATGAGCAAATGTCGTGCTGGAAATCGATTTGAATGGGAAGGGGCTGTGGCGTACTGAGAGGGGGGGGGGGGAGCGGGGGGGGGGGGGGGCGCCCCCTTCGAGAATGGGTCGCGAAATTCCTGAAACTTACTTATAACCATAAAAATGTGCAAGTGACTTGTTTATACTTGTAACTAATTAAAATAATTTTGAATTTTTTTAAAAATTCAATTTAGCCCTATAAAAATTTTTTCGGGGCGTGGCTACCACGCCCCCTTTTTCTGAAATTTTGGAGTTATGGGCAAAATTTTGAGAAGCATACCTAAAAATTTTTCTCTGTGGCTAACGCACCTTCATCAGAAAAAAAATTTTTGTCTTCCCCTCCTCCCCCCCCCCCCCGAACGGAAATTCGGTACGCACTGAAAAGGGGATATCTTAAATTTACGTTTACATGTACAGGCCCCGTAAAACCCAATTGCCCACGCGTCGCTTTGAACACCAACGCGCGGCGCGGCTGGAAACGTTTCGTTCCAAAGCGCTACAGGCTTTTTTCGAGCGACAATGAGCGCGCGTCCTTTCCACACATATTTTTTTAAACTTTTGAGGGGGGCTTTCGTCGAGGTATACCTTGCATTGGCGATAACATGAAAGTTAAAGAAAGATTTTTTGGAATATAGTGAACGCCGACAGTCGTTCGCGACGACCGCTCGCTTACGCTGGTGTTAAAGGCACGGCGCGGGCAATTAGGTTTTACGTCGCCTATACAGACACTCTCTCGACAACTTATTATAACGATATGACTAAAAAGTTGGAGTGGAAACCTCCTTTTCCACCCCATGCACATCTGAGGTAGACAAAATCTTGGCAACTTTCACACGTAAGTTTTTCATTTAATATGAATCTGCTCTATCTGTTCTACATTTAAAGTTCAATATATGACATTTTGATTCCAAAACTCTCCCTTTCCTTATTCTTAGGATCCAAGATAGCAACGACGCCGGTCGTTTTGAGGAAGGAAGCATACTCCAATCGAATATCCTTCGAAGCAGACGAAATCAAGTAGCAAAGAAAATTGTGAATAGGCGAAGTCGTTTTTTCCATTTTCCATCCCTGTGCTGGGTCCTGTCGCCTGATGCGGAGTTGGGTGCTTCACTGTTGTTAAGTGCCGCGCGCGCATCACCGCATGCTGCGTAAGGGTTCCTGATCAAGTTGTTGTTCGGTCATGTAGGCTGTGCATGTGCAACCCGCATTCGTGCACCGCGCTCGCGATGCACGAATGCGGGTTCTCAAATGAGCAAAGGACGATTACAGGATCTAGTACGTCACGTGAGCTATTTACCGAAAATGAATGCTAGCGTAAGCTCTGTAACTCGCAAAAATTTACCGTTTTTCGTTTTCACTCCTCTTCTCTCCCTTCAAGGAAAGTCTTCGTTCCTGACATCCTTAACAAATTCACTAGTCTCTCAAGCCACTAAGTTAGCTGAGGACTTAGCGCTTTATAATAAGATGCCGAGAAAGGAAAACATCAGGCTGATGAATAGTTTCTGTTAAACTTTTTTCAAATCTGAGAAGTGTCTGATAAATGTTGTTCAAGGCATGTTGACGGTGCAAGGCTCCAATTATCCACGAAATTTTTTTCCACGAAATTACTTGAAAGAGTGAAGCTCCTTTTCGAAGGAACTTGGATATGAAGCTTCTGAGAAGAAAAAACATGTGGAAATGAATGTAGGGAATTGATGTAGGATTATGGAGAAAATGGATGAAACACTCAAAAGGAGTGGCTTACTTCAAATCCTTACTTTAAATCAACTAGCGTAATGATCCTTTGTTTCTTCAAATCTCGCTTTTCTGTGGCATGCAGTGAAAAGCGAGAGTTGAAGGAACAACTGTCGAGGCAGTTTGGCTTGCCGCTCTCCCGGCACTTTTGCCTGAGATTGGGTTATCGTTTTTAATTTCTTGCTTGTTCCTAGGGGATTATGTCCAAATCATGTAAACGTGTCACCTACATTGCCTGGGAATCTCAAAGGCAGTGGATCAGCAGAATGGACTCTTTTCGGATTTTGGTGGATTTAGATAGTAGACCCCCCCCCCCCAAATACACTGTAGCCCAAACCCCATCTGCCAGTTCATGCGCTAAGTTCTGGAAAATCCGCTTCAAATCTCCACCAGCTCCGCCCCATTCCATTGAATGGGCCAGGCTGGTGGAGTTTGAAGCGCATCAGGACTTAGCGCATGAATTGGCAGATGGGGTTTGGGCCACAGTGTATTTGGGGGTCTACTACCTAAATTCACCAAAATCCGAGAAGAGTCCATTCTGCTGATCTACTGCCTTTAAGTCGATTGAAAATCCAAACTGCTTTACCTTGTAGTCCTTTAAATTTTAGTTGAGTCTCGTATGTGTCATCGAATGAGTCTCGTCATAGTTTAAAACGACAGAACCTTCACCTCTCTTTACGTTTGGAAACTGTCGTTGTTTACAGTACAGAAGCGTTCAGTCCTTTTTTATTTAGAACAGTGTTTTACATCAATGAAGTGCTATTTCCATTACTCTATGTGATAACGAAGAAATGATGTTGAGCTGCTGGTTACTTCAGAGCTTGGCTTGGCATTGCACCATTACCAAGCAAGCATAGTTCCTGCTGATTCTTGCTCGTTTCCAAATATTGTGCGAACGATTCAACATAGAAGCAGTCAGCAAATGGTTATGGTTAAGACGATGTAATCATATCCAAGATTTTATCCAAATTGCTACCATTCCTTATTTTCTCATTGTCTTCAAGCACTAAAAACAAAGTACAAGTAAATTTTTACAACTGTGTGACCACTTTCAGACCTTTGTCTTTTCAGCAGTGGCTGAATAACCAAAGAATAATAGAGGAGATCCTTTTGACGGATACACAAAGAATCAATGAAGCTGAAGTTCTCGAGGGAGTGGACAAAGACCGAATATTGTCCGACCTGGAGATATCTAAAAGGCAAGTTATTTTTCCTATTGCATAAATGCAGATGCGTAAAAGTATTTCATGCGTCTCTCAGAATCAGACTTATTGAGTCCTGCAGGACATGATGAGGTAAAAACTCGAAGGGCTTCGGACGATAACACTCCAAAGAAAAGAAAGAAGAAACCCCCTTGAGTCGTGACTATTCGCTCAGAGCGGGGCAAATGTCCGTCCTCATGCCTTTTCGCTGACGCCCCATAATAAGCGAATTTCGAAGCGTAAGAATCAAGCTGCTTCACTATTTTCTCTTCAATAGATTATATCATTTGATTTCGTGCAAAGTAATGCCATTGAAAGCTCTAAGCGGACGAAAACGCTATGAACTTGTTGAACAAGCTAGTGAAATTTGAGTTTGAAGAGTTTACGGTATTAATTCAATTGATACCAAACGTTCTTCATTGATTCCATTTCAGCCCCTTCCTCAGAGAACGAATGGAAAACATGAAGTCTGGTGGAAGCTTGCATGTCGTAATACGCAACTTTTCCGGTGCTTTGATACTAATCAACATTGGAGCTGACTTTTGTAATCTGATGAATCCTCATTCGAAGGTACTCTTATATTCAACGAACACGACTAGAGATGATGATGATGATGATGATGATGATGATGATGATGATGACTAGAGAATGATGTTGTGGAATGTATTAGGATGTCCCATAAATTTTGAGGCTTGAGTAATCATTCAAGAGCGCAAAGCAGGCTGCACAAAATGTCTATCAAGAACCTGCCAAAACCGTATTTCACATGTAGTTTTGAGCTGGAATCTGATAGCGTCAAAAACGAATTTTCTTATGAAAAATCATATCTCCGCCCCAAAAAACCTCAAGAATTCCCCATCTATCTTAGCATGTGCTTGACACATCGAACATTCAGTTTTGCATTCTCTTATTTCTTCCTGAAGGAAAAAAATGAATGGGGTAAAGAAGCAAACTCCGCCCCTAGACGTCATGAGCTCATCCCATGCACATGGTCATATAGCTCATACATACAGAAGTACCAGTGGCGTACCGAGGGGGGGGGGGGGCGGGGAGGGGGGGCGCCCCCCCCCCCCGAGAACGGGTCGCGAAATTTTTGAAAGTTACTTACATGGGTTATAAAAATGTGCAAGTGACTTGTTTTTACTTGTAAATAATTAAAATAATTTTTAAAATTTTTTAAAAATTCATTTTAGCCTTATAAAAAATTTTTTTTCGGGGGGCGTGGCTGACGCCACGCCCCCTTTTTCCAGATTTTAGGGGTCGGGGACCCGGAAAAATTTTGAGAAGCACCCTAAAAATTTTTTCGGAGTGCGTGGCTAACGCCACGCACCTTCTTTAGAAAAAAATTTTTGTCGCGCCCCCCCCCCCCGAGCCGAAATCCTGGGTACGCCACTGAGAAGTACGATCATGTTTTTGTAAACTTTGTAGGTGCCTCAGTTCCCGAGAAATGCTGATATTTGAAATAAGAATGGTAAAAAATTATGGGACAACCTTATATATTGTCATATGTATTACTCGCACTAGTCTGTACTCTGTTTATAACGCAATGGTGATTTTCGCTTACGTGTAATCGCTTTCCAAACAAGTGTCGATGTAACAAAATGGAAGGAATCATGAAGGGTTGTACAAGCGAGTAATAAATGTGATCGTGTTTGTGTTTAATCACAAAACAACGTCGAGAGCGTCGTTTTTTGGAAGGAATGCTGTATAGTGTCAAACATGCAAGCACATATGTACACAGGACCATATGGAACCGAGACCGAGTAGAAGAATCATTGGATTATGATAACGAAATTGTTTGGTACGACTAGTTTTTTATTTTCTGGTTATATCTGTATAATGCATATGTGAGAAGTAACGGAGGTCAGCGCATGGAGGACATATAGTCTTTGTTGCCGTTTTCGATTGACTCTGTGACACTTTTGCAAGGAGATTCTATGACTGGCTGGAGCAGTCTATTACGCGGCAACCCTCTGCGTTTTGATAAGGTGCAGGCCAGCAGGCAAGCGTAGCTGTATCTTGTTTTCGCTAACGGAGACTTGGTTCGTCCAAACCCAGCGTTCTGCGATTCATTTTTTTTCCAATCACGTCTGTGACCGACTGTGTTTTCTTTAACTAAAATGGTATTGATCTTTTGACAAGTTACAACTTGACGCATCATCCTGCCACAAACTTGATTTTTGGAGTTTAGGTGGGGCCAATATTTGTAAAATAGACCGCGGGAAATGCTTAGCTTATGGCACTCCAAAACGAAGTTTGTCAAATGCCACCTTTATAAGTCCAAATGGCATTCCATATCCGAGGCATAAGGACTCGCCAACGCAGCCCACCAGCGTCACGCAGTCCATCAGCGCGATCTTGGCCGCATTTGAACGTCAAAGCGTCAGCCTGGTCACAAACTCTTTCATTACTGGAAAGCACCGCTTTTTTTTTTGAGTAAAAATTGAATATTGTCTTCCACAGCAACATGGCTGTTTTGTCTATCAGTGAAGTACATAGATTTCCGTTGCGGGGGGGGGGGCAGAAAAATTTTTTTTTATATGCTTCCCAAAATTTTCGCGGGCCCGTAAGTATGAACAAGTCACTTGCAGGTTTGTATAACTCATGTAAGTAACTTTCAAAAATTGCGCGACCCATTCAATGATGTAAAAGGATGTTATCTATCACGACTTATAATAACGGACTGAGGGTTGTTTACGTCTTTTTGTGTGTGTGTCTGTGTGTCTGTCGGTCCGTTTCGAAATTCGTAGAACGGGTTCCAGCGGATTTCTTGAGCCCAAATTTTGCAAGGCGCAAGCTAACATCATGGAAGTCCACTATGCAAATGCGGATCCGCTGAATGGATCTCTCAAATTGCGCGTCAAACGGATCCACCTGGCTTCGGACCAGCAAAATTGGGCCTCTACCACCTTTTTTTGCGATGTCATGGATATGTTTGACAAGCTAATGTGGAAGCAAAGAACTTTAGCCCAGAAAACTGAACTAAAGTTGGCTACTTTACGAAAATGAGTTAAAAAGAGTTAGTTGCGTAAATGTTTAGTTTGCCAAGATTTTACCTGATCATCTGAGAAGATTCTTGCACAGAGATGTAGCCCACGATGTTCATTGTCCTTATGGTGACTGCCAAGCCATAAAAATTTTAACCTATTCAAGTTTGCATGTGTTCTTCTGGGAAAAATCTCATCTACGCGAAAATACCGATCTCACACGAAAAACCTCTAGGAATGAGCGTGAAAGACTACATAGCGCGGTGAATTCCAAAGTATTATTATGCTGGAATGACTAAGACATACAGAAAGTAGAGTCAGCACGAGCCTCAGCGAAGCAGAGGTGACGCACTGGTATATATATAAAACTCAAAATTGTGAGTTCGGAGGCTATGTGCGTTATTAAACGCGCGCCGATCAACCGATTCAGCTGAAACTTTGCACACACACGTTTTCGACCCCTGCGCAGATGATAGGCTACTTTTTACGGCGTTTCGCTGGGTCGTTTTATCGATACATCGATTTGTTTACTTTTTTCTAAGGAAATGATGGCTTATCATGTTTCAACCCATTTTTTCACAGTCATGTAAGCTAGGGCGGTAAATCTCATTTCCACCTCAGGATCACGAGGATGCGGTATCGAAGGGATGTCCCAGGGAAAGTCATTCAAAAGATGGAAGAGGAGGGGGAGGGGTACCCGGGCTGCACGACAGGAAAAAAAATATGCGGCAGTAAATTCCGTGCCCCACAAAACTCTCTGGTGCTAAGCTGACACAACCGAGGACCAGGGTTTCGGAGTGGGGCAGAGATACATGACTCAATGCCATAAGTTTTAGCGCAAGAAGAGTGCTAGATGATGTACTGTCGAAGTCAAGTTGCGGCGCTTCTCAAAAATTTGAGCAGATCGTCCTCCTGACCGTTCCCTGGGGAATAGCAGTACATTAATCTTGCTGACAACCTATAGTATCTACCCCACAGCCAGTGAATAATGGCCCGGGCTGGAGCGGGAAAGTCATCTAGTACCATACACATAACGAAGAGCTTAAAGAAATCAGAGAAACATTTTGAAAGAGGGTTTAATATAAGCGGTGAATCACTTTCAAGGCTGTATCATTGCGGTAATGGCGTGCATTATTCCTTCTTAGGTAAGAGACTATCCACATAGCCATCGATTCATTACCCTAACACTTGAAAACACTTAAAGAAACTTTTTATTCACCCGCTCTTCTTTCTTGTTTGTCCAATCTTTGAAATAAATGAGAATTTCTCAGCGACATTACCGACAGCTGTGCTCTCTTTTTTGTACTATTCAGGAAGACTTCCGCCGTTCTCTATACGCAAAAGCATACGATTTTGCGCCTTTATCTAGTCATCATCCCGCATCGCCATCATCTCGAATTTCTGGATTTCTAGCTCCGGCAGTTAGCCTGTTTGCATTCTGTGGATACTGTGATTAACCTATATATGAAGCTCATTGCGTGTATGTCTATTCGTCCATATGCATAGTTAGTCTTCTCAGCCGATCTGGTAAATTGGATCTCTTTGGGAGAGCAGGTCTTACAGGCTGCTTTCGTTGTCGATACACATTAATTATTGATTTATTCCAAAAACCCAAGGGGTAATATATCTCGCAAAGCGGTCGCCTTATCGCATGCTGCTCTCACTTAACGCGTTCCATGATTACAGTCAGTTTTTTGGCGTGTTCGCCTTTAGAGCGAAAAGGGTGCGGCTTATACACCTGAAAATAGGATAGATATACCAGCCAAGTAATAGAGGTATGAATTCCATATAGAATTTCATACTCTAAAATCTCTTGTAAATAGGTCCTCCTACAGATAGGTCCGCCGGAAAGTTGGTCATCATTTGAGTGCATAGAGTTTCACAAAACTACAAGCACGGCTTGCTGTGCATTGATTGATAGTGCATAAAAATGTTATAAATAATCTTTCAAAAAGTCGATACACTTCAATGCGTGAGAATGGCAGAAAACAACACTATGACGTGCCAAGAGCAGGGGGGGGGGGTTACGAAAAAATCAAAACTTTTGATTAGTTTTTGAAAGATGGAGCACATTGCACATAGTCACAGAAAGTTTTTGACAATATTTTGTAGTTGCCATAGGATTGAAAGATGACAGACGGCTCTGTCATCTTTCAATCCTATAGCAACTACAAAATATTGTCAAAAATCTAACAAAGAAGGGTCGCGAATTTGAAGCGGTTTATCTTAGGATGCATACCATTACAAAGAGCCTGAAGTGCTGATTTTGAAACGCTTTCAAAGTTGTGGGCGTTTTTATCATCAAATTTTGCATGGTTTTGAGTAACTACAAATAATAGAAACCGTTTCATATTGCTTTTTGCAGTACAGGATACCAGTCAGAGGGTGAGCATCATTTTAATCGTGGGCCTGTTCCAAACAGGTTTGAGTCCAAAATGCTCGGGTGTTGATAATTCTGGTTACTCTCAGCCTTGCAAATGTTCCAGTTTACGCTTACGTTAATGCATGTTGATCTATGGGAAGTGTGACGGAGTCCGAAAAAATTCAGAATGTCAAACAAAATAGCATGGTTCACAATGTTTATACTGGACACAGTCTAAAATTTAGTAGACGTTATAGTTTTCACTTTGGTTCTGCGATGCTTCGCTGTAGATGTACGCATGATAATGACTTGAGATTACATATCTTGATATGATATTCTGTCAACAAAAAAACTGGAAGAAGAACTTTTTTGTGCCTGTGTACAATTTCTACTGCTCCAATGGGCTTATCAGTGTACCAAAATCCGCAATTCATTCCAGGCCAAACTAGCAGTCAACGCGTCAGTTGTTTTTCAAGAACACTGCGATAATATCGAAAATGTGGAAGAT